CTCTGATTCTGGTTCTGTTGATGCTCTGGACTCTGACCTTTCAGCTTCATCTGTGTCTGACTGATACTTTAATGATTTGTCTTCATCCTCTTCATCATGTTGCTGGAAAACATTTAGCTACTTCTCTGCAGCAGCTAAAAGACCAACAATATGAAAAATGATGTTTATTTAGGTAAAACTGCTTGAGTCAGTGCAATGAATTACAGTATTTACACTCAGACTGTGACTGAGTGTTATGGACAAAATTTAAGTTTTTTAAATAAGGGGCCAAAATTCAGAACTTGGTAAAACTGTCCACTTTATGTGAATATTACTGAAAAAAGTGTTAACTAACTAATCATACTCATAGACAGGCATGGCCGGTCCATAAGGGCAGGAGTGCTGCAGCCCCACCTAAAACAAAATTCATTCACCACACAAAGTAGTTCCTTTTTTTAGCTTCGTCATTTTAACTATTTTAATCCACAAGTGCAGCCATGGGCCACAGGTACTCCGGGACTAAATAAATAAACATTTAACAGAAAAGTCAGACAGACCCACATGATGGAGGGAAAAGGGCAGGTGCCCAACCACCACCTGACCTCTATCTGTGCACATCCATGAGAGTATCTTCATCATCCATCCAGCTTCTTTTATGCTTTTTAAAAATTTGTTAAAGTGATTTCAATGGAAATGAAACCTGAGCTGAGTCAGAGCCTCCGATCCAGGTTCTTCCTGATCTGTGGGTGACGGCAAGGATGTCTCTGTACTCCTCAGGACTGTGCACAGACGCCAGATTTGCTCCGTTAAACAAGCAGTTCTTCTGAAAGAGACAAAACAAGAACATATTAAAGCAAGTTGTACAGAAGATAACTTAAGTAAAAATTGGATATAAAGAAATGAATCAGTGTTTAAAATGACCTCAGCTTCAGCCCAAGTCAGGGCATCTGGAACGTATCTGAAACATCGACCACCGATCAGAGCCCAACCTCCGGGACAAAATACTACACCCTCTTTGAGAAAAGTCAAAGACAGAAAATGTATTTTGAACGAAGGGGGTGTTTTTTTTTTTGCAAAGTTGAAAAAAATTCCAGCATATATGTGACCAATCATTTCGAAATGAGGATTAAGTCAAATTTGGTCAAAATGACCTAATTACATTTTCAGATTCTTGGCTTTAAAAGCTACATTTTGATACCTGGATCATTCTGATATCATAATTAAATCCATATATATGACTAAATTAAGTCATATATATGGATTTAATTATGATATCATGATTAAATCCATATATATGACTTAATTTATCTTATATATGGATTTAATTATGATATCAGAATGATCCATATATATGACTT